TCAATGCAAACAATCACAGTTTCGTAGAGCTTAAATTCGAAATTAAATCGAACCCTTTGATGAAGAACAGCTAAACTAAAAGAGAAAACCATCGCTTACCGGAGTTTTCTTGAGCTTGCGAAGAAATTCAAGTGAGCAGGCGACTGAATCCTGATAAACCCTAATTCGAAGTTAAAGAGGTAGGCGTTTTCTTCTTTTTGATTTGCTTTTGTTTTTTTTTTTGTTTCACAATTGTTTAGGGTTTATTGTAGTCATATAGGCCCATTAAGTGTTTTTAGGGTTTTATAAGGCCCAAAAAAGAAAAACAGACAAGAAACCTAAAATTGTGACCATCGACGTCGACTTTTGTTCTGCCGGAGAGCACGACCGCCTAATGTATTAACAAGTGGTGGTTCTTTCCATTTTTTAATTTTGACTTCAAATTTTGCGTTTCCTCTGCAACTCGCCGTCAAGGGTGGAAATCGAAGTGGAGAGAATTAGGGTTTCCTGTTCTATCTAACCTGCTTGAAGATGACGTCTTATGGAGACAGACTGAAGTCGACCTCCATTAATGGAGTTAAGTTATACCATGTTTCTTCTGCACCCAATGTTGCGACTTGGCTTAATCCTAAGAAGCAACGAGCTCTCCGCAAAAACCCTCGTAAGTATCACCTATTGTTTCTGTCTCAGAGCTTATCTCGTGCTCTGAATCGTTAACCCCTTCATAAACCCTATTTCTTAAAGGCTCGTCCTTTTTTTTCTTTTTCCCTCTTCGATGTAAGATTATATGCAAAGAGTGGAGCTGATTCAGGAGTTGAAGTTTGAGACTGCCACTACTAGAATCAAAGCGACTCCAGACGGAGAGTATCTGATTGCTTCAGGTGCGTTTTTCTTGCTTTGTGAATTTGTAACTTCGATATATATAATGTGTGACTTTTCACTGATGTGTTGTTGAATCAGGCATATATCCACCTCAGGTCAAAGTTTATGAGCTAGGTCAGCTTGCTTTGAAGTTTGAGAGGCATTTGGACTCGGAGATAGTTGATTTCGAGGTACCTTTACTGCTCCATGAGTTGTTTCTTAACACCATTCATAGTAACTATCTTGTTTCTGGTTTGATAATATGTGTTTGTTGGCTCTACAGATTTTGGATGATGACTTCTCAAAGCTTGCCTTCTTATGTGCTGATCGTTCTATTCATCTACACGCCAAATACGGGAAACACCACACTTTAAGAATTCCAAGGTAATTTAGCTTTGTTGGTATATGAGATATATTTCGTGGTCTAAAGCATTCATTTATTTGCAGGATGGGGAGAGATATGACATATGATCCCTGGTCTTGTGATCTTCTTTGCGCTGCTTCCTCACCTGATCTATACAGAATCAATTTGGAGCAGGTACTTTCCAGTGAATTTATAATAGTTTAGTATTGTGACCTACCTCAGTCTTTGGTAGACAATGATTTGTGAGTTTCGCCTTCTTTCTCTTTAGGGAAGATTTCTCTCTCCTCTCAGCACTCAATCCCCAGCGCTTAATGTTGTTTCTCGAAGGTCTGTATACTGAACTGTCATTTCTTTTATTATGTTTCTTGTTTTGATCTAGGAGAAGATTCGATTCTGGTGTTTTAGATTATTATTTTTACATTTGAACACTATTTTCTTTCCAGCAACCTCCATGGATTAGTTGCTTGTGGTGGTGAGGATGGTGTTGTGGAATTTTTTGATATGAGAATGAAATCGTCTGCTGCTAGAATTAACGCAGTCACACATGGTGGTGATGCTGCTGCGGTGATTCTTCCTAACTTATGTTTCAAATAAACAGACTTTACTAGCTTAGACGTCATGTGATTGGTGAAAATCGCATTGATCTTTCTGATAATCTTGTGCTTTTAAATGGCTAATAGGAGGTTACTGCTATCGAGTTTGATGACAGTGAAGGTCTTCAAGTAGCTGTCGGGAGTAGTGCGGGAAAGGTTTGATGCTATATTTCATTTTTTTTATCTGCAAGGTTTTAAACATTGGTAGGTCGATTTGATTATATAGATATGTTGTGTTGTGTTGATTGTGCTGTTCTGTATCTGCAGGTATTCATATACGACTTGCGTACTTCAACTCCCATAAGAGTGAAGGATCACATGTAAGTCTTGCTGTGTTTTTTATTAACTCAAAATTCATTGTATATGCTATAACATTAGGGTTCTTTCCTCAATGTTCATTGTGTTTCTGCAAAACTTGCAGGTACGAGAGCCCGATTTTGAGTATAAAGTGGCAACGGACTCTTAATACTCAACAACCTAAGTTGATTACTACCGACAAGCACATTGTTAGAATATGGGATCCAAACACGGTAAGCATCAGATAAGAACGGTTTAACCTCATAGTTTTTTTTTTTTTGAAAAAACAAGAAATATAGCTAGATAAAGCTTTTGAAATCACCATATTCTTCTGTTTAGTTATTTCCATTTTGTGTTTGTCAGGGAGAAGGTATGACCAGCATTGAACCGACTCAAGGAGGAATAAACGACATTTGTGTGTTCCGTGGAAGCGGACTTATGCTTCTTGCTTTAGACTCTAGCCTAATCCCATCTTACTTCATACCTGAACTCGGTCCTGCCCCCAAATGGTGTTCTCCTCTTGAAAATCTAACGGTAAATTGAAAAGTCTCCCTATCCTTTTATGTGTTTACCATTCCAGTGATGTCACCATTGTTACAAACACGTTTCTTGTGTGTTAATATTGTTCTCAGGAAGAGTTGGAGGAAAGTGGACAGACGACTATTTATGATAATTACAAATTCGTGACAAAGGAAGATCTGGAGAAGTTGCAGCTAACTCATTTGATTGGAACAGATCTTTTGAAAGCACAAATGCATGGATATTTTATGAATCACCATTTGTACAAAAAGGTGAGTCCTTGACATTTTTTTAACACTTAATAGCATCAGAATAGTCTCTATAATGTTTCTTCCTTATACTTTCTTTCTTTCTTTGTACAGGCTTTAGCAGTGGCTGAACCTTTTGCATATGATGCTTACTTAGAACGTAAGAAGCAAGAGAAGTTAGAAGCGAACCGTACACAGAGAATCACAGTTAGTATTCAAAACCTTAGCATCTGTAGATTCACCATTGTTTGTTTATTGGCTACTTACATACATATCTGTTTGTCTTGTGCTTTCTCCAGAAGAAGAGAAGGTTGCCAAAGGTTAACCGAGAACTCGCAGCAAGGCTTCATGGGGACGATTCGGAGGAGGAGAATAAAACTGCCGAGGATGAGGAGGCCGCCAAGAAAGTGTCGAAAAAGAAGAAACCGATACTTAGTGGCGAGAATTTCGCAGATGGTCGGTTTAGTTCGATGTTCCAAAATCCGGTATTAACATAATTCTTTTCAACGTTTTTTTGTTTGTTATTTTTTGTTGCACTACTTCACATCGTATTAAACTGATTATTGGGAATCTCCTTTTGGTTTTCAGGACTACCAAATTGATCCAGAATCATATGAATATGGTGTCCTACACCCTGTTGCTTCTTCGAAGAAGCAACCTTCTTTGTTAGATGAACACTTTGAAGCTGTATCGGATGATGATGAGAACAGTGATTCTGATGCATCACTGGCTTCAGATGACGAGGCCGACGATGGAGACGCAACTAGGCCAAGCAAGAAAGCAAGAATTCCGAAGTTAGTGCCTTTTGACTGCATTCCAGGATCTACATTTGACACACACTATCTTGATTCTTTTGTTTTGTGATATGGATCATTTGGTGTCAGGTTGTTTGAAGTGAAAGATGAGCGCCATGCCGCAGCTTTTTACAACCGCACTTCACTGGCTAAAGAAGATAGTCTTCCTATGGGCGAGCGTGTCAAGGCTATAGAGAACCGGCGTGGCAACTTTGGAGGCTTGAAAGATATCAAATTCGGTCCTGGAGGGTCTCGGGAGATTTCCTTCAAGGCGAGAAGCTCATCGAAATACAAAGAAGACAGAGGAGATAGAGACGATGAGGATGAAGATGGGCAAAGAAACAGGAGGAGAGGAGTTCAGTCTCTTGGACTGAAATCAGATAATGTTAGAGGCGGTTTCAGAGGGAGAGGAGGCGGCGGTTTTAGAGGGAGAGGAGGCGGCGGTTCCAGGGGAAGAGGAGGTGGTGGTGGTTCCCGGGGAAGAGGTGGCCGTGGTGGTGGTCGTGGAAGAGGCCGGCGATGATAAATGTATCTTTCACTTTCAGGGGTTTTATTAGTTTTGGAAAATGTGTCACCTACTATTGAGAATATTTGAAACTTGATTGATTCACATATACAATTTTGGAATTTTTTTGACCTGGTCTCCAAATGCTTTAGTCTTCTTCATTCAGAAACAACATAATTTACTTACTTGAGGCTAAAGGAAATGATTGGAATGAGGATGACCTAAAGTTGACCCTAGTTCGATAGTGGCTTAACATGATAGATCACCGACCGTTGTTTATTGAGCTAAATTAACAAGGCTAACGTTGATATAATATAGTATTTAAGGAAGATGCTTTTCTTTTATTTGGGGAGGTCAACAAATAAATAAAATGCTTATGTATATGCTTACAACATGAGAATTGCTTATGTATATGCTTACAACATCCAAGTGTTTGGGACTAGGAAGACGCCTCAAGCTGATCTCCACGCGTCTCCCACAATTTCTTCTGGCTGAGTCATCTTTCAATATGTAAACCTCTAATCTTTATTATATTTGAGTGTATTTTTCAATTCTTCTTTACTTTTTATATAGTTAGTCTACTTGTGACTAGACCTTGTTCACCCGTGGAACATAAGCTTTGGCATGTGTCGACCTACGTCCTCAGATCCAAACATTCTTCTTTATAGATAAGTCGTCGTATAACACTTATAATATTAGTTTTTTTTTTTTTTTTTTTTTGACAGCACTTATAATATTAGTTTGCTATTTATATATTAAAAAAAAAAACTACTGTATAATAGTATATACTGTTAATTTATACTTAACCATAGAGATTGGTTTACCAAAAAAAAAAAAAAAAAACCATAGAGATTGGTTTATTTAATTGTATTATCCGCATTATATATACGTTGGACAATAATATTCCACATAAGTTCAGAACAATCCCAACCAAAGCAGCTTCCAAGCTTCAAGAGGAAACATAATCTATAAAGTTTGTCCTTAATAAGCAAAAATGTGTGCATTAGTACCTCCATTGTTCCCAAACTTTGGGTGGCCATCAACGGGAGAGTACGACAGCTACTACCTAGCCGGAGATATCCTCAACAACGGCGCGTTTCTTGATTTTCCGGTACCGGAGGAGACTTATGGAGCTGTTACAGCGGTGACTCATCATCAGAGCTTTGGGGTTTCTGCTTCGTCGGAGGGAAATGAAATAGACAACAATCCGGTCGTCGTCAAGAAGCTCAATCACAATGCTAGTGAGCGTGACCGTCGCAAGAAAATTAACTCTTTGTTCTCATCTCTCCGTTCATGTCTTCCTGCCTCCGACCAATCGGTAAGAAGCTACTCTGATTTGTCTTATGTGAATCAGTTCCGTTACATTTATGCATCTCTACAATTTAGAAGAAGAATACTGTACATGTTAACCCTTTTTTCTTTACTTTCTTGCAGAAGAAGCTAAGCATTCCTGCGACAGTTTCTCGAAGCTTGAAGTACATACCAGAGCTGCAAGAGCAAGTGAAGAAGCTAATAAAAAAGAAGGAAGAACTCTTGGTGCAAGTGTCAGGTCAAAGAAACATTGAACATTACGTTAAGCCGCAACCAAAGGCGGTGGCGAGTTACATCTCGACCGTGTCTGCGACTAGGCTTGGAGACAACGAAGTGATGGTCCAAATCTCATCGTCTAAGATTCATAACTTTTCGATATCTAATGTTTTAAGTGGGTTAGAAGAAGATGGGTTTGTTCTTGTGGATATTTCATCTTCAAGGTCTCAAGGAGAAAGGCTTTTCTACACTTTCCATCTACAAATGGACAAGATTGAAAATTACAAGCTGAATTGCGAAGAGTTAAGTCAGAGGATGTTGTACTTGTATGAGGAATGTGGAAACTCATTTAGATTATAATTTGTTCTTGTTTCTTTATAGTTATGTCGTCCTTTTCTCTTGAAAATCTAACATTCTTGACCAAAGCGTTGTAGTCGAGTTGTTTCGTTTTTGGTCGAAGTCAATGATCGATTATGCTATTGAGTATAGACTGATTATTATGAAGTTCATGTTACAGCTATATATTTTAATTTTTGTCTAGACTTTGAATCTTACTAATAAAAATATTTGTTTATGTGTATCTTATTTATATACAGTTAAATGTTAGTGGTGATTTGGTGTATCAATAGAATATAAAAATAGGAAAAGACAAAAGAGGGTGTTTTAAGTGTGGGCAACATTATAGTAAAGAGTATAAATTATATCATATACAGTACTAAACTTTGGACTCTAATTTAGAAGATAAATTATGTAAGTGAGCCAAGTTGCACTTATTAATTAATAGATTGTTGTGACATATTTAAAGAGTTAATTGAGATTTATTAGGATAAATGATAAATGAGAAACCATGTATCTAGGTTATCCATTGATCTTGGAGTTAATATATACTAGAGGCAGTAATTTCAATCAGGCATCACAGAAAAAAACTTGGAGTTTTGGTTTTGAAATAACTAAATCTTTGGATTGTTAGTTTATTTTGGTTTAGAAAAAAGAAGAAGAAATATAGTGGTTTACTTGGCTTGGTTATAAAATATATGAGATTAAACAAGAATATGCAATTTACAGGATGATAACTGTAGCTTTCGGAGATTATTAAATTAGTTTAGAAATGTGGGTTACGAAACGAATCTTGGAAACCTCATTGATTCACATTAACAATTTTGGAATATTTTTGATCCATTCTTGAAAGTATAACTAAATCAGAACATATATTACTTTAGACACAAATGGGATCAAGTTGACATTAGTATATAAAATGACTTTATCGTACGTCGTTGTGGGATTAAAATAACCAGACTACATTTAAATATGACAAAGATATCTAAAATTTTGAAATGCTTATGTATATGCTTACAACATGAAAATGCTTATGTGTATGCTTACAACATAAAAAATGTATGGGACGAGGAAGTAAAGACAGCCAAAGCATCTTCCACCTGATTACCGCAAGCTCTCAACATTCTCACTCGCGTGAGTCATCTTTTAATATGTAAACAATAATCTTACCCTAGTGTTAATACATGTTATGCTTCTTATACAATATGTCCAACTTGTGACTAGACCTAGTTCATGCGTGGAACATAGGCTCTGGCACGTGCCAACCTATGCCCTATAGAGACCTAAATATTTCTCTCTATAGTATGTAAGTCGTCTAACACATATAATATATCATATAATCCCAACGAATCGAAATACTTATTATATAGTTTGTTGATCAATATTTAACAACAGAGATTTGTTTCTTTAGTCTTCTTTCATCCGCATATATAATCAGGGGACAATAATATTCCGACCAAAACAACTTCAAGAAGAAAAAAAAAAAACAGAATCTATAACTTGTCCTTGATTAAGGAAAAAATGTGTGCATTAGTCCCTCCATTGTTCCCAAACTTCGGTTGGCCGTTGACGGGACAGTGCGAAAGCTATTACGGTGGCGGAGATAACCTTAATAACGGCACATTTCTTGATTTTCCGGTACCACCGACTTATGGAGTACTGACTCATCATCAGAACAGCTTGGAAGTATCTGTTTCGTCAGAAGGAAATGAGATAGCCAACAATCCGGTCGTGGCCAAGAAGCTTAATCACAATGCTAGTGAACGTGACCGTCGCAAGAAGATCAACTCTTTGTTCTCATCTGCCAAAGTGAATAGAAGTCCTTGAGTATTATTGATGATTAGCCAAAGTATATATAGTACAAGAGAATGTATGTGTAGACCTAATCGAATATACACTAGAATATTGACATATGTCTAATAAGGAATGTATCCTTATCCTAACATTCCCCCTCAAGTTGGAGCGTGTAGATTACAAACGCCCAACTTGTCTCTAAGGAACCGAAATTGTTGACTCCCGAGAGCTTTTGTAAAGATGTCTGCAGGTTGAACCGTCGTAGAAATGTGAGAGAAGATAATGTTGCCAGCAATAAGTTCATCCCGTAGAAATGACAATCGGACTCAATATGTTTCGTTCGTTCGTGAAACACCGGATTAGAGGCAATCTGAAGAGCGGACTGACTGTCACAAAACAGCTGCATTGGTTGATCATGTGTAATGCCGAGAGAAATCAACACTTCTTTGACCCACATAAGTTCTTGACATGTCATTGCCATGGCACGATACTCGGCTTCAGCGGAAGAGCGAGAGACTTTATCTTGTTTCTTTGTTTTCCAAGAGACTGGAGAGTGACCAAGTTTTACCAAGTAGCCAGTTAAAGATCTTCTTGTGAGTGGACAGCCCGCATGATCAGAGTCACTAAACACCTTGAGTTGCAAGTCAGAACTAGAAGATAAGAGAATACCTTGTCCCGGGCATCCTTTTAAATAACGAACCAAGCGAACAGCAGCTTCCCAATGATCCAAGAGAGGTTTTTGCATGAATTGAGCTAGCATATTAACCGCATAAGAGATTTCTGGCTTTGTATGAGTGAGATAGACAAGACGTCCAACAAGGCGACGATATTTATCGGGTTCTGCAAACAACGGACTTGTGGAGGAGGCAAGTTTATGATTCTGTTCCAAAGGTGTGTCCACCGGCCGTGATCCTAAGAGACCGCATTCCTTAATAACATCAAGACAGTATTTTCTTTGAGACAAAAATATACCGTCAGGATTACGAGCAACCTCTATGCCCAAAAAATACTTTAAATGACCGAGATCCTTCATCTTGAAACATTGACTGAGATAGGTTTTGAACTTAGCAATTACTGACGCATCATTCCCACAAATAACTAAGTCATCAACGTAGACAATAATGTGAAGCACAGTGGAGCCGCGAATGGAGGTGAAGAGAGAGTAATCTTTCTTAGACTGAACAAAACCATACTAGAGAAGAGAGACAGATAGCTTTTCAAACCAGCAACGAGGTGCTTGTTTAAGTCCGTAGATAGATTTCTTTAGCTTGCACACATGAGAAGGATCCGTTGTTTTGAATCCCGGAGGTGGTTTCATGTAGATGTCTTCTTTCAAATCGCCGTGAAGAAAAGCATTATAGACATCCATTTGATGTAGTTCCCAATTCTTGGCTGCCGCTACATCTAGTAAGAGTCTCACAGTTTGCATCTTGACAACCAAAGCAAACGTTTCAGTAAAATCAACTCCCTCTTTTTGATGATTTCCCAAAGCGACTAGTCTTGCTTTATATCGTTCAACAGTTCCATCAGAGTTGTACTTAATGCGGAATACCCACTTTGAGCCAGTGGGTTTAACTCCATGAGGAAGTGGCACGATGTCCCAAGTACCTTGATCTTCTAGAGCGTCAACTTCGAAAGTGACTGCATTACGCCACTCTTTTTCTTTAACAGCTTGATTGTATGTGTTTGGTGGATCAAACATGCTAATGGCAGCAAGAAAATGTTGATGTTTTTCAGAGAATCTTTCACATGAGACAAAATTAGCCATGGGATAAGCACATTTACCAACGGTATCAGATGAAGAAACCAGTGTTGGAGGAGTAATTAAATCACATTGAGCCGAGTAGGTTTCGTAATCCTTTAGGCGAACTGATTCTTGTCTATTTCTTTGACTTCGTCGAAGAGGAGCAGGGGGAGTAGGAATAGGCGCAGGCGCAGGTATAATATGTGTAATGGGAGTGCCTGGAGTGGAGTCATCCCTTGTATCAAGATCAGGAGCAGAGTCTGTAGTAGTTTCAACAATAGGAGACGAGTGAAAATCATCATCATAGGCCAAAATAGAAGACTGTATACCTTGAAAAGAATTTGACTCTGGAGTTATATTCTTTTTTTCAGCGAAAGGAAAAACATCTTCTTGAAATATGACATCCCGAGAGACAAAAAATTGGTGTGATTCAATGTCATAAATCCTCCATCCCTTCTGTCCGTGAGGATAGCCTACAAAGATACCTTTGCGTCCTCTTTCTTGAAATTTATCCGAACGGCCTGATTGTTTCTTTGCAAAACAGAGACTTCCAAACACACGCAGTTGATCATAAGCCGGTGATGTAGAGTATAGGATCTCATATGGAGTTTTGCCATCGAGGATAGGAGTAGGTGTTCGATTTGTTAAGTAAGCAGCTGTAAGGACACTTTCTCCCCAGAAACTTGTAGGTAGAGCTGCTTGAAACAGAAGTGAGCGTGCTATATTCAAGATGTGACGATGTTTGCGCTCAACACGTCCATTTTGTTGAGGTGTGTAGACGCATGATGTTTGATGAATGATACCGTTTTCGACAAAGTAAGCTTTAAGACTCATGAATTCAGTACCATTGTCGCTTCTTACTATCTTAACTTGTTTGTTGAATTGACGGAGTGCCATTGCAATAAACTTTTGAAGAATGGGACCAACCTCACTTTTAGCAAGCATGAGATGAGTCCAAACAGCGCGAGAGTGATCGTCGACAATAGTTAAAAAGTAGTGAGCTCCACAAGAAGAAGCAAGTTTGTAGGGTCCCCAAACATCGCAGTGAATCAAAGAAAAACACTCTTCTGCTTTATTGAAACTTTCACGAAAGCTTGTTCGAGTTTGTTTGGCTCGAACACAAACGTCACAAATCGTCTTTAAATCAGAAGTACAACTATCAAAATCATCTAAATTGAGCAAAACAGAAGATAGAACTTTTGAAGATGGATGTCCTAGTCGCATATGCCACAAGGCCTTGTCAGATTTCCTCTTTACCGCATTAGCACTTGCTTGAACAGTTCCTTGCAAGTGATAAACGCCATTCCTCTCTTCACCAACTCCAATCACTGTCTTGGAAATACGGTCCTGTATCACACAAACTTTGTCAGTGAACATTGCAAAACAGTGCAGTTCACGAAGAAGACGAGCCACAGAGATGAGCTTGCATGAAAGATCAGGCACAAACAGAACATGAGTAAGTTTCATATTAGCGCCAAGAATTAGTGTTCCTTCTTTGGTAGCTATCGTGTGTTTAGCATTAGGTAACACAACAGCACTGTGCGGGATATCATAAATCTCAGTGAGCAAGTCTAGAAACCCGGTCATATGATGAGAAGCTCCAGAATCAATAAGAAAATCAACACAATTAGTCTTACCAGACAGTTTTTCAGAAGAAACAGAGGTCTCTGGTTTCAAGAGATTTTTTATGGCTGACCACGCTTCTTTGCTAACCCCTGGTATATCCGGAAAATCTGCAGGAACAGAGGATGAAGGTGATGTTTGTGCGTTGTTGGCCCGGTATGAGTAGCCACGTCCTCTTCCTCTGCCTCTAGGAGCGTTGTTGCGACCCCGACCACGTCCGGAGGCAGTCTCACCATATTTGTCAGTGTACCATTCTGGAACTCCGTGTAGCTTGAAGCATGTATCAGCGTTGTGATTTGATCTGCCACAATGAGTGCACGGACCAGTATTGTTGACTCGTGTGACAGAGGCTATCGCATTGACTCCGTTTTGAACTGCAAATCCAGTTGCATCAACACGTTCTTCTTTGCTCCTTGCTACAGTTAGGTGTCGTTCCTCTGCAATGATATCTGAGTAGATGCTGTCAAGAGTGATAGATTCATCACGACTTAAACGACCCAATATATTGGTGCGGGTGGTGCCAAATTTAGCCGCATCCAGCCCCATTAGGAATTGGTGAATTCTTTCATGATCACGCCTTTTGATTTGACGAAGCATGTGAGGACATGTGGTTTTGTCGCAGCAACAAGTAAGAAGTGGTTCATAGTCATCTAAGTCATCCCACATGACTTTAAGTTTGCCAAAGTAATTAGCCACCGTCTGTCCGTCTTGACGACAAGCAAAGATCAGATTTAAGTTGATGAACACGAGATGCGTTACCAACAGAGTAACGAGTTTTGAGACTTTCCCACATGACTTTGGCATTATCAACGACAGATATGGATTTTTGCACATGTGGATCAAGACTTGCAACTCAAGGCGTTTAGTTGAGATGCTGAGATTTCATCTTTTTGAGAAGAGGTAGGCGCATCGACTGGTTTGGTCATGATGCTTTTGAGAGAAGAAGAGAAGAAAAAATAGAGATTGAAGGAAGTGTTTTTTTTTTTTTTAGGGTTTTGTCTCTGATACAATGCCAAAGTGAATAGAAGTCCTTGAGTATTATTGATGATTAGCCAAAGTATATATAGTACAAGAGAATGTATGTGTAGACCTAATCGAATATACACTAGAATATTGACATATATCTAATAAGGAATGTATCCTTATCCTAACATCATCTCTCCGTTCATGTCTTCCAGTTTCCGATCAATCGGTAAGTAGCTACTCTGATAAATATGTAATCTAGATCTGTTTCTAATACGCTCGTCTATACAGCTATACAATTTAGAAGAAGAACACCGACTTGACCCTTATTTCTTTTTCTTTACTTTCTTGCAGAAGAAGCTAAGTATTCCTGAAACGGTTTCGAAGAGCTTAAAGTACATACCAGAGCTGCAACAGCAAGTGAAGAAGCTACTACAAAAGAAGGAAGAACTTTTGGTTCGAGTGTCAGGTCATCGAGACTTTGAAATTTACGATAAGCAGCAATCAAAGGCGGTCGCTAGTTATCTCTCAACAGTTTCTGCCACTAGGCTTGGTGACAACGAAGTGATGGTCCAAATCTCATCGTCCAAGATTCATAACTTTTCGATATCAAATGTGTTGGGTGGTATAGAGGAAGATGGGGTTGTTCTTGTGGATGTTTCATCTTCAAGATCTCAAGGAGAGAGGCTCTTCTACACTTTGCATCTTCAAGTAGAGAATATGGATGACTATTACAAGATTAATTGTGAAGAGTTAAGTGAAAGGATGTTGTACTTGTACGAGAAATGTGAAAACTCGTTTAACTAGGTTAATTTATATGGTGTATTTATCCATTTGTTCTCCTTTTTTTTAGTTGTGTCCTTTTCTCATAAAAATCTAACACTGATCTTGACCAAATCATTGATGTACTGAGTTGTTTTCGTTTCTTGATTGAAGTAAATATTTGTGAAATAAGAATTCTGAACCAAACAATATAAACAGAAAAAAAACATTCACTGCTACAGATGTCAACTGTTGTTACATAGTTTATTAGAAAATCAGAACATTTAGAACTTAAAAGAAAAAAGTAGTTGTGTATATATATATACCTAAGCCCTTTTTTCTTGAGCCACAAGAAAATCTGTGAAGGTCAGAAACAGAGGAGGCTTGTTTCAATTATCCTCAGTGAAGACCTTGAAGATGAAATCACGGAAACGTCTCGAGTACAGCCTCGGATCGACGGCTGAGATTGAAGTAGGATCGTACTGGATGCTCTTGTAAGCGTGTTCTAGTTTCTTGCTGATGTCATAGTCTTGAAGAATGTCTATGATTCCAAAGATCATGACAACCTCGTAGTACTCTCCTGTCGGTTCGCCAACTAGCTGGAACTCACAGTCGCTTCTCCTCATTGTCCTCTCTGCTCGAGCCGGCATGTTGCCTCCAAGTCTAATACTAGCCCACCTGCAACAGCAAAACGATTTATTATTGAACTCGAAATCGAGAAAATTGCTTTCTAGGTATCGAGTTTAATTTGTTTTTGTGTTTACCTTGTAGGATCAGAGAGAAGCTGATCCACGTCTGCTCTAGAGAGACGAGGGGCTGATTCATCTTCAAATTCACCTGCAGTTGCGAAAAAGAAACATATATATTTGCTTCACGGATTCTAAAGGAGAGAAATGATATTTGGTTTTGTTAGGAATGCGAACCAATAGGCGTGCGAGCTCCAGAAGGAATCAGCTCTCCAGCGACTGATGCTTCTCTGAAATGAATCCCAACCAGAAGACTGTAATCCATTATTCTCTCCTGTTCCAGAAACTCGCAGTCTTTGTCGACTTGCCTGAACAAAAACACAATCAGCATAATAAATAACAATAAAAAGGTCAATGGAAAGAGTTTGATTGATGAATCTCCAACCTGATGAATTCTTGGTACCAAGCTTTCTGTAGTCTAAAAATGAAATTCAGATCAAGATCTTTCAAGATTGTATTTGAATTGATTTCTGATTCAGGTTTATCAGTTGTACGGCCAAGAGAAGATCCTTTCAAATCAAAGCGTCTATGAATGGAGTACTCGGAACAAAATAGATTTCCCATAATGACAAACCGCACCTGCAATTTTTTTGCAGAAAGGAAATGAAATATTCAATCAAAATCCAAGTAGCAGTTTTTTGTCTGTTTAGCATTGTTCTCAATTCTTACCTTCTTTTGGATTGGTCCAGTCAACTTCACACAGTGGAGACCGTAGAATCTAATGACCAAAGTGTTTTCAAATGCTCGAACATGGTTGTAATATGCTGCAAGCATCCTCAGAAGCACCTGCATTATATAATTCCAGAATAAAATTAATAGCAGCCACACATTTTTCATCTGGTAACTTAAAAAATAATATAAACTCACTTTAGTTTCAGACTTCTTCATTGTCTTTATCATGTAACGATCATCATTTGTCAAGTAGAAAAAGCTTCCACTTTTACCAGGGGATGATAGCTCCCGAAGTGCATCATTCCCGCAGATCGATAACATGTAATCAGCTGGGTCTACCTTGAATAGCTTCCTCAAGCTCCTAAAGATAGATAAAATTAGCATAACATAGTGTGAGAATAAGTACCGATGAGAAATAAGTAGAGCCTAGTGTTATTGTATCTCACCTAAAAACTAATGGGCAATAGTCTTTCCATTTGAATTCACTAGATTGATGAGGAGGTGTGTATTTTGTTCCTTCTGGTGGAAATCTTGTCCATACCTTCTCCTTTGGATCAAAAGCCGAATGCTTAAGATCAAGAGACACAACCGGAGCTTGTTTTCCAACAGCATGTCTGCATAAGCAAATCCATTAAACATGAGCGCTTATACATCAACAAAACTTCAAATGTATAACTGAGGCGGCAAACTGGGATATTTACCTGATTCCAAGCTGTAGATTAAGCATAAGCTCGTAATTCCGGTGGCCTTTAGATATTGTCTCCCCTTGCTTCCTCCCTGCCCTTGGCAATCTCATAGGTGCAGGGCTCGGTCTCAGGCTCTGAATGAAGCCTTCGGCCTCTAGTCTCATCATTTCAGCATCTAAGTCCCTCCTCGTGGTCGAATCAATATCAGCAGCGCCTTCTCCGCTTTCGGTTCCCCACATATTCATCTTCTCAAACGCTCTATCTACACCCACACTTACCCTCCCGTCAACAGACATCCTCCTCGGTTTCTCGACACGTTTGGAAGAGTTCCAAACAGATAGCTTTTTCTGTGAAGGCAACACAGGAACTCTCTCTCCGCTGCAGATCTTGTACTCACTCAGATTACCAAACACGTCTTTAGGATCCCATTCAGGATTCCCTTCGTCTCCCGATGGATAATAAGTACCGTTCATTTCTTCCGGATCATTAGACCAATGACCAACGTAGAAACTCCCATCAGCCCATTTGAAAGTCCCATTTCCTTTAGGGAAACCGTCATCCCAAAATCCGTCGTATCTATTCCCATCCGTCCAAATAAAAGTACCTTTGCCACAGATCATACCGTTCTTCCATTCCCCCATGTAATAGCTCCCATCTCTCCACTGATACTTTCCTTGGGCTTCTTGCAAACCCCTCCTCCATTCACCATCATACACATCTCCATTCGCGAAACGCTTGATTCCATGCCCATGTTTCAGGTTCATCACCCACTGACCTTTATAAGTATCTCCACTAGGACCTGTGTAAAGGCCAACACCATCCATGTATCCACTTTTAAATTCGCCTTCATAAGTGGCACCAGAAGGCCACCCGAACTTCCCTCTTCCCATAGTCTTCCCGTTGTACCAGTCACCAATGTACATGCAACCATCTGTCCAAAGATACTTGCCGTGCCCGTGAGGAAAACTATCATACCATTGCCCAGTGTAATAGTCCCCATTAGGAAGTATTCTCTCTGCATGGTACAATTCCCCTATGCTGCTTCTGTTAGTGCTGGTCTCATCGTCAATCTCCTCAGTCGTCGTAGTAGTATCATCGTCTGTTTGTGGAGATACAGATACCGTCCCAAAAATGCTGTTTGCACGCTTCTTTGCTTGTTGGGTCTTTCTTACGGTCACCTCCCAAGCCTTAAGAACACAGCTTTGTTCCTTGCTCATCTTCTTAAACTAATAAAACTTTTTTTCTAAGATACCTATATGTATATCCTAGAACATGCACTCAGAAAACATATTTGTTCTTGTCGAAACAACGATCCTATCAATGTACACATACACAAGAGAAAATCATGAACTCTGTGCGGAAGGAAAAAACAAACTGTAAACCTAAAACCATTAAATCAAAAGCAGCATGAAGAATCTGCAATGTTCTTTACGCTGTGACTTCCTGTCTCTATGTCATAGAATCATAAGAAAAAAGAATGTTTATTTTGTCTGTCAGAATGCATCATTTTCGGAGTGAATGCTGATCTGAACAATCATGGAAACCTAACAAAGAATCAGAGAGAGCGAAAAACCAATGGCCAAAAGAGTTAAGGGAGCAAAAAAAATCTCTCCGACATTTCATCTTTTCTTGTCAATTCATCTTATCTAATTATGTCGTTCAAAGAAGAAACCGTTCATCTCCTCAAACCAATGAAAGCCTTCAAATTTAGAGAAACAAGCAAGACCCATTTATTTCTATTCTTAGCATCTCCGAGCTTTCCTCTCATAAACAAACATATTTTCTTCAGAACAAAAAAAACGAAAAAAAAAACAATGTAATAATTAATCAGTTTAGCCAAGACTGATAACGTCTCCAATTAGAGATCACTAAGAGCCATAGTAAGAAACAGAGATAATTGAAACTCCAACTCACTGAGGCATTCTGTCGAACACTTTAAGCTCGTTGCTTCTCCACTAACAAAAACCCAATTTCCGTATATTCCATAACATCTTCTCAAAAAGGAATAAGATCCATCCCCAATGCTGAAGCTTCAAACACCTTAAACGATAGAAGAGAGACAAAAGTTACAACCCAAAGCTTGAAAAAGATCATATCTTTTCCTGGCGAGGAGGATGACGCGACGGCTTTAGGAGACTCAACACTCGAGGAAGACGACCATCGCCGGAAATCCGAAGATGAAGAGTAGAAACTTTCCGTCGCAGGTGAACTCAAACTGGGAGGGCATTTTAGAAGGCTAATCATAGTAATTTATTTGTAATTATTATTATTTTACTGTTTAAGTAAATACTTTATCCAGTAGTAAGTACTAAGTAGTAACGTATCACTTTACTTGATGTCTATTGGCTAATAGTCAAAGCTCTCTCATCGTTTCGAGAGAATCTTTAATCTCATCACGACACACCAAAGCCAAAACCTTTATTGTCGGAAGCTGACTCAGACTCACCCAATGTCTCTAGCGTCAATTATATGCTAAATTCACCAGCCGCTTAGAGCCAATCATATAATCTCGATTCTCTTCAACGGTCCTCAATTATCCCAAACTCGGATCATAAAAAAGCTAACTTTTTTCATTTCTTTTCTGAGGCATTCGTTGGAATCGAAAAATGGGTAGAATCGGTTTAGTGGTGTCTGATCTGGTATTGTCGTTCATGTGGATATGGGCAGGAGTTCTGGTCAACATTTTAGTCCATGGAGTTCTTGGATTTAGCCGGAGCGATCCCACCGGTGAGATCGTTCGTTATCTCTTCTCTATCATCTCCATGTTCATCTTCGCCTTCCTTCAACAAATCACCAAAGGCGGACTTTATAATCCTTTGACCGCTTTGGCTGCTGGAGTCTCCGGTGGCTTCAGCAGTTTCATCTTCTCCGTCTTCGTTCGAATCCCCGTCGAGGTTTGTTTCGTTGACTTTTCTACCAAAACTAAAATTGACTATTCGTTAGGGAGAAATCTCAGGATTTTTAACTCAATGATGATCCTCAATTCCTCATTATACCGACTGACATGAAATTAAGGTCTGTGTGTTGCTTAAAATGTCAAATTAGAGAAAAAGTTGAGAATTTTGGTGATGAATTTATCATCTATGTAAACTTTAGCTGATGGGTTCTTCTCAGAAAATCAGATCATTTTGGTTTCTGCTCTTATGTTTTTTTTTAAAAAAGACTATATTTTGCTCTAATGTCCACATTGTGTTTTGTAATCAAAGATCATACTTTTGTGAAACTCCGGTTTTGTGTTTTTCTTTTCAGGTAATAGGATCAATTCTTGCGGTTAAGCATGTCATTCACGTATTCCCTGAGATTGGGAAAGGACCTAAACTACAAGTAGCAATCCATCACGGTGCTTTAACAGAAGGGATACTAACATTTTTCATTGTACTGCTCTCAATGGGACTCACAAGAAAAATCCCCGGAAGTTTCTTCATGAAGACTTGGATTGGTAGTCTTGCTAAGTTAACTCTTCATATTCTTGGCTCTGATCTTACCGGCGGATGCATGAACCCTGCAGCTGTATGTACCCAAAAACAAAAGAGTCTTGTGGTTGTGATTTCAGCAAAAAAACCGATCTTTGTTTGATTGTTTGATTTGTGTGAATCTTTGCAGGTTATGGGATGGGCTTATGCACGCGGTGAACATATAACAAAAGAGCATTTGCTTGTGTATTGGCTTGGACCTGTCAAGGCTACATTGCTTGCAGTTTGGTTCTTCAAAGTTGTGTTTAAGCCTCTCACGGAAGAACAACAGAAACCTAAGGCTAAAACTGAGTGAGGAATGAGAAATGAGCTCAGCTTTCATATTTAATCCTCTCTGGATAAATCTCCTCCACACAAGACACTGAGGGTAGGATTGTTTCCGCTCTTATCCAGGGATATTTTCTTAGATTTTGTTATGTGGCAAACTCAACTGTATCAACCAGTTCAATAAAAGCTGAAATTTAGTGAATCCAATGTGTAATTTGATCAATTATATGCAGTAAAAGTATTTGGTTTATTGCAAAAAAAAAAGATGATGTTTCTCAGTTTCGATCATTCAATTACAAGAAATCAAGAACCAGCCGTAAACTCAAGACTTGACGTTGCAGCTACTAATAGACAAGATTAGGCTCAAACTCGGCGAAATCGACAGAGCCAGACTCAACAGGAGGCATGAGATAAGCAGCCAAGATCTCAGAGGCTAAAGAAGTAACCAAAGGAATACGCTTGAGGGTCTTGATGAAGGAAGGATCATCGGTTTGTCCTATAGCCAGCAGCTTCTCATAGCTCACAACCATTCTGTCGAGTTTCCTCTTGAACTCAGGGTTCTCAACATCCAACACTGCCGGGAATATTCTTGCCGTGGTTCGGTTTGTCTGAAACAAATTTCAACAGTTTCAGAAAAAGGAACATAACACAGCTTAATATTAATCTTCTTGTTTCAAGTTCCTTTACCTCGATGATGACATGCATATCGAACTCCTTTGTTTTTAACCCGATACCCTCGTAGAAATCAGTTCTTTGACAATCGTTGAGGTACATTGTCACATAAACCTGCAAAGCCAATCCTCTTACCGGTTAGGCCAATGTGCAAAACACATTTTGAAGTGAAGAATTATAGAATAGTTTAGTTTAATTACCGAGAGGCAGAAGAAGCGAGACCAGAGTTTGGCTTGCCAGTCATTGAGGAACTGAGGCTGAGCTTTCATCAAAGCGGAGAAGAAATCTCCATGACGGTTCTCGTCTTGACACCAGTTCTCAAAGTACTTGAAGATTGGGTAACATTGGAACTCAGGGTTTGCCTTGAGGTGTCTGTAGATTGTGATGTATCTCCAGTACCCGATTTTCTCGGATAAGTAAGTCGCGTAGAAGATGAATTTGGGTTTGAAGAAAGTGTATTTCCTTGCCTTTGTTAGGAAACCCAAATCAAGAGCCAAGTTGAAATCAGACAAACCCTTGTTCAAGAACCTGCAAACAAAAAGTTTGTCATCAAATTACCACTTCAAGAAGAAACAGTTAGATAAAAGAGAGGTTCTTGGGGTTAAAGAGATTTTACCCGGCATGCCTTGCTTCATCTCTAGACATAAGAGAGAAGATCTCAGCCACAACAGGGTTTGTTTTCTGCAATGCCATCAGATCAAAGATTCAAGATCAAATGAATAAAATGATCCAATGAAACAACATCAAGTCTCATATGTGAATAACTTCCAACTAATAAGCTAGACAAGAAACACCAAACCAAGAACAACTCTTGAAAACTCATAACAAAGGAAACTTTAATATATTAAAATGTCTACTATAGCCTTTAATTATCAGTATTAAGTATTAATTAAAGCCATATATATATATATAATCTTCCAATCTCACCTTGAGTCTTCTACCAAGCTCCTTGTAGAGAAGGAAACCAGAGAACTCAGCAGTACAAGAACGCTCAAGGAACTCAACAAAGATCTGTCGGAGAGGTCCCTGCAATTTGTCTGCAGCTTCTTTAAACTCTTTGTTCCTCACGAAATGTGTCTGATTGTAATCGGTCTTGAACTCTTGAAGCAGAGCCACGAACTCTTCCTCGTTAAGGTTCTTGTTGATCTCAGTGTTGAAAAGCTGTTCCATTTCCTCGAAATCCGTCGTGTAGAACCTCGGAGTAAGAAGCGACTCCTGAATCTCTTTCTTCGTCCCCTTCTTGGATTTCGAGGTGGTGGTGGCCGGAGGAGGCGGCGAGGAAGTGGCTGACATTCTGATCACGGTGGAGAAACGTCGGCCGGAGAGGTATTTGCTCGGGTTAGAGAGCTTTGGGGAGGTGAATTTGGAGATGGGTTTCACTAACGCCATTTCAGCCGCCTTTGATTGTGAGTTGCAGAAGCAAAGAGAGTGAGATAGAGAGCAAAGCAGCTAGAGGAAGAAGATGATAGCTGTGTGGTGATTTATAATTGTGAAAAATCTCATCTTGTGAAAATCTGAATTCTGATGTGGGAGCCAGACACGTGGCGATAATTTATTGGTTTCTCTTGATTTGCATTGTCTTCTTGATAATATTTTTGTGATTTCGTTATTTAACAGAACATTTTTGAAAGAAATTATGTGATTGATAAATTAAAACCATTAGAAACAAATAAAATATGAAAATCAACCAATAATAAGAGAAATAATTTCGACAACAGTATACGTTACAATTCGTGGTCCAAATCTTTTTTATAACAAAAAAGGGAAAAAAAAAAAGAAGATAAAATATGTGATGCTGGTGATATCCAGATGAGCCATTCTGGTATATATAAATACAACTAGAAAGGATTAAAAAAAAAAAAAAAAATCTAGTGCTCAAACCCCAACAGAAATGGTGATACAACAATTCACATCGAGACTTTCAGGCGCATTAAAAGAATGGTGGAATTCGCTTGGAGAATATCGAAGTCCTAGATGATTGTTATTTCTCGGATTTTTTTTCCACAATTATATGAAACACAATTAAAAGAATGATAAAGCACAAACTCCATTTCTCCAGCTTCAAGTCCTTCCTTCTCTAGCAAGTAAAAAAAACAATGTAAAGCTTTAGGGCTGAGAACGGTTTCTTCAGAAGCAAGCAACAAGCTTTAGCAACACAGAGAAACGCAGAGGTAAAGCTTCTTTACCTCTATTTACGAAGCATTGGTGAAGTGGATACAGGAGAGCTTGTTCCATCTTCAGATCCTGCGTTTATATTCATACCTTTATCTGTATTCCAATTTCGTTCATACCCTTCAACTTTCTCTTCATCTTCAACCCGAACGCGTTTCCCTGCATCTTCATCATCACTTGATGATCCTCCTGATTCTTCTCCATTTCTCTCATCTTTGTTGCTACCATTCACATTGGTAAAAAAAGGGTCAAAAGGAGGGATGATTCCCTCATTATGTTGATGGTGATGATGGTGGTGATGATCCTTAGCCTTTAAGTCATCTTCCTCACAATCATCCTCGAGATCTTCATAGTTTAGATTCCGGAGAATCTCAGGCAGAGAGTAGCTCTTTCCACTCTCATCAACAATCCTTCCTCCTCCCATTTCGATATCGATCTTCTCTTTCGAGCTAACTAGACTTTCACCTAGATTTGAAGTAGGAGTTTCAACCATCATCATATAATCTTCTTCCTTGACAAATGATCTAAACTTGTTCATTGATGGAGGAATCTTAGACAGAAATATCTCCCATATGTTCCCTAAAATTCCCTTGTTGTATGGATTCTCCTTCTTATCATAACGGTATCGGAAATTCTCATAAGTGGTCTGCACAAAAAACAGATTCACCATTAAAACAAAACAGAGCGAACCAAAAAAAAACAACCCCCAAAATGTACGAAAGCGTAGATCTTTCTAGTCACCTGGTTAGTGCAGATGAGATAGGAATGAAATATAGTGAGTCCTCCAACAAACCAAACAGTAATGAAGCAGTAAACTATGAGAATATCCGATAGAACATCTTTGGATATAGCTTTCCAGATGCTAATCTTTTCATCCATATGTCTTTGAAATATGTTCAACCAAGAAAAAGCAAACACATATATGCACAAAGTGGTAGATGTTGATATGAACATGAAGAAGAACCGGTAATTTCGCTGCAAAAGAATCCAAACAAGTTTAAAACACAGAGCCGATTATTAAACCTCAGGAATTTATGGCAAGAGTCATTGAGTAAAACTTACCACTCCAATGCACTGGCCAACCCAAGGGCAGTGATGATCGAATCTCTGGACACAGTTGTTGCATATGGAACAATGAGAAGCTCTAGGAGGACGGTAAAGCAAACAAGTGTCACAGAATTTCACTTTTACGGTATGTCCATTCACAGTTACATCTTTGACCCTCGGTATTCTTATATTTGGGGTTCTACCGCTAACCCATTCCATGGACGGAGTAGTTGAATCCGGTGCATCATCTGTTTCCGGAGGCCTTAAACTTCTTGGCACAATCCCGGGATCTCTACTAGATGTCATTAAGAGGAAAAATATATCCTGAAGAAAACTATTGAAACTTTAGTTCACTTTTTACACATAAAGTCATCTAACAGAGTTCAAAAGCAGAAGACATACCAAAATGGTGAGTATCCAAGACACACAGAGAATTGGAATACAGAGATTTGGATTCTTGGTACGAGGATCAGCCATTTTAGTGTACATTTTGACAAAGAACATTACGGCGGGACCAAGGATCAAGATGGTTGATAGATATAGAGATGATGCATCTGGACCAAAGATTAACCTCCCGCCACATAGAAATTTCTGCAAAGAAAAAGGGATAACAATCAAAGTCAGTTTTAAATCCATGCTTGCAGTGACCATGGCCTGAGAGCTTCCATATATGAACAATCAAGACTAAACACAGCAGCTAAACTGAGTCAGCGGAAGGTGAAAATTAGATAGATACACAAATGTTTTGGTTCTCATTACCAAAGTGGGCAAAATAAAGACTCAAGAAGAGTCTGAAATGCTATGACTTGGACTAAAAGGAATCAAATTGAATAAAATGGAAGAGCGATTTCATTCATGCCCAAAACATATGTGATCAATCTTCTCCAGATTATTTAAATGTGAAAGAAAACGAAAGCGAAGTGAAAATCTCAGGACTTACATTGCTTCCCCTCCAAACTTGATAGAGCCTCTTGAGTTTGGTCTCATTCCAAGCCATAGCTGAGGTGGGAAAGAAAAAAGAAAAAGAAAAGCTCCAGAAGTGAAGAAATTTGGAAGAACCCAGAATCAGAAACCCATCGGAGAATCCATGGACAATGATGATCAGATCAGATCAGAGATCAAAATCAAGAAAAACCCCCAGAAACGGAAAACAAAATCTTTTTCCTTCCTACGAAAGAAAGATTAACAATTTCAAACACTCGGATTTGATTTGTAGTTCGAGAGGGAGAGAGACAAGGAAAATGGAAGCTGTCGTCTCTCTCACTCGAATTATTATTTTCGCTGCTTTGCAAATTGCGATCTCTTTTTCCTTTTTCTTCTTTTCTCTTTCCTTTTTTTCGGGTAATTAAAATATTTTTTTTTATTCCAATCTCATTGCCGAATATTTTAGACAGGAGTTAATTAATGAGATAATGGGGACAATGTATGTAATTAGGAAAAGTGATTACGCGATTAGGAGGATGTCTGTTAGAGAACTAAGAAGGAATAATTTCTTGTTTAACTTAGATTAGATTTATCATTATTTCAATAGTGTTATTTCATGGTCGGCCAACTATATCTTAATAAATTATTAGAATGATGCAACAATGAGCTGGTGAAGGTAAGTCAAATCTCTGAATTAAACGTGCTTCAGACACAGATTTTTTTTCCTTTGTATTTTTCTTCTTCTCTCATTATTTTTCGTTTATAAATGCTTCACTTCTTCGATTATTTGTACTTTGTTTATTCTATGAACTTTTCAACATTCATAGCAAAAGATAAGAAGTCAATTTGATTAAAGATGTCACAAAAAATAAGATGATGATAGTGACTAGTGAGATATTGGGAAAAAACCCGAAAAAACCGCCATTTATTTTTTTTTTGGCCGTTTAATACCTGTGTTTTTAAATTTGGAATAAAAATACCTCATTTAGTTTCGGTTGGATTTTAAAACCATCGTTTTAAAAAACTTGGTAAAATCCTACTCCCGCGTTAACGGCTGTTAACTTTCCTAACGGCAGTACTAACTGCGGTTAACACTTAACCCTACGTCGTTACTTAGACCCAAATTAAGACACTCTTACCCTTTCGCATTCTACCCAGAAATCGATTTGGGATCAGAAACCCTAATTTCTCTATTCTCTCATTCTCTTTGAAATCGATGTCTTTGAAATCGTGTTAATCGATGTGTCTAGGCGTTTGATTACTTGCGGTTTGGTTAGAATTTGAGTTCAAGGAGTTAGTTTGGTCGCATCGTGATGAGGTATGTAATCGATTAGGCATTTTTAGGGTTGGAGAAATTATGGGTTTGGGGGTTTCAATTTCTGGGTTTCTCGGGATTAATCGACAACGTTTCTAACTTCATCTCTCTCTGTGCAGTGGTTTCGATTGCTTGAAACTTAATATTAAGTTCGGAGGAGATGTCTCCTTCAAGGATGAGTGTTTCGCATACATCGGAGGATTCGAGAAGAGGGAAATGTTGATGGATCCAGACCTGATGACGTGGTCGATCTTCGATGATTTCCCTAAAGAGAATGGAGTGTCTGGTGCCGTAGAAAAAGTTTGGTACAAACTTTCCCATGAAGACGTAGATTCAGTAAGAGCTATCTCTGAGGACAGAGATAGTGGGATTAGGCAATTGTGTAGTGAAGCTTTGATTGGTGGTGAAGTAGATATCTACATTCAGCAAGGTGTGTCTGAACCTACACCGTTTCCTATGCCACAACCTGGTGAAGAGTGTGATGCTGGTGAAGAGAGTGATGTTGGAGAGCATCAAGAGTCTGATGC